GTGGGGGAAGTGCCAGAACAAATGGTCTTATATATTCCATCTTCACACCAGACGTTATTTTAGTAAAAACATTGAGATGTAAGACATTTTAAGAGTATTGGATGATCAATTCGAATTTATTCAAAATATTGGCCCTTTGTGGGAGAGGTACCAGAAGAAGTAGGCCGATATATGCCAAGTGCACACCATATCTTGTGGTAATGTACATATTGGGATGTGTGAAATTTGAAGACTATCGGAGGTTTACTTCACATTTTGTAAGAGTTATAATTTTTCCAAAAAGTTTGACCCCTTGTGGGGTGGTACATGATAAAGTCGGTCAATATTTTCATTCTCGTAACTGACATAGCACTGATACAAATATTAGGATTTACCAAGTTTGAGCCAAATCGAATGATCCCTTTTGTTTTATGCGGCAAATTATTTTCTGGGAAAATGTTGGTATTTTGTGAGGGAGGTACCAGAAGGAGTGGACTCAACTCCGAATTCGATCCAAGTTCGACAATAATATTACGATGTACCTAGTTTGGATCAAATCGGATACTCCCTTCGAGAGTTATCGTACGCACCAGCCAGACAGACAGACGGACGAACACCCCTAGATCGACTCCAAATGTCCTGAAGGCCCAAATATACCTGGGGTCTAGAACCTCTGTATCTATATGGCTGAGGGTATCAAAATTCCTAAAAATGCTGTAACAATAAAGTTAATATGGAGATAATTAATGTAAAAAAAAATAATTGTTTATTTCCAAACATCCCAACACAGTTTCGGTTAAATTTGAAAAACTATTAAAAATGTTTGATAACAAGTAAAAAGTAGTAAAAAACAACTAAAAAAAACCAAAAGTTCTACCGAGCCGAACTTTTTTATACCCTCTATAAGTTTTAAAGTAATATTATGTCTGTAAATGCCGAAATTCTAGTATTTAGGAGTATGGGTCACTTCTTTTAGTAGGAATATCAAATTCAAATTTAAAACAATTCTGTAGCAAGTAAAAAGGCATAAGTTTGTAAGTTCGGCCGGGCCGAACTTTGAATACCCTCCACCATTTGGAACGAATTTGGCAATTCTCAAAAACAATAAAATCCTTTAAAAATGCTGTTAAAATCTTAAAAACACCGAATGTAGCTGTTACATAAGGGTCTATACGACGACATGGACCTGCATAGGTAACTTTTGTCATAAGCCATTACAATATTCAAATGCGAAACTTGAAAAAAATCTGTTTATAATGTATCTAAAATCATCAAAATACCGAATATAGGGAGGTACCATGGGGGTTATAAAAAGTGGTCCTGCACAAACAATTTTCTGCTGTTGTATCCATTACGAACTTCAAATACGAAATTTTAAATAATTCCGGTAAATAATGTCGTTAAAATCATAAAAATACCAAATATCGGGGGCTACCGTTATATGGGGGCTATAGGAAGACGTGGACCTGCACAGACAATTTTCTGTCTTAGGCTGTAGCATGGTAGAAGAATATAGGTAGATGCATCAACGCTTGGGAACAACAATCTTTGCAAATGTTAAAGATTTTTCATTCAAGATTTTCAATTCCAAAATCGGTTGTTTTTGTTATGTTTCGCATTTGAATGTTGTAATGGCTTATGACAAAAGTTACCTATGCAGGTCCATGTCGTCGTATAGACCCTAATGTAACAGCTACATTCGGTGTTTTTAAGATTTTAACAGCATTTTTAAAGGATTTTATTGTTTTTGAGAATTGCCAAATTCGTTCCAAATGGTGGAGGGTATTCAAAGTTCGGCCCGGCCGAACTTACAAACTTATGCCTTTTTACTTGCTACAGAATTGTTTTAAATTTGAATTTGATATTCCTACTAAAAGAAGTGACCCATACTCCTAAATACTAGAATTTCGGCATTTACAGACATAATATTACTTTAAAACTTATAGAGGGTATAAAAAAGTTCGGCTCGGTAGAACTTTTGGTTTTTTTAGTTGTTTTTTACTACTTTTTACTTGTTATCAAACATTTTTAATAGTTTTTCAAATTTAACCGAAACTGTGTTGGGATGTTTGGAAATAAACAATTATTTTTTTTACATTAATTATCTCCATATTAACTTTATTGTTACAGCATTTTTAGGAATTTTGATACCCTCAGCCATATAGCTACAGAGGTTCTAGACCCCAGGTATATTTGGGCCTTCAGGACATTTGGAGTCGATCTAGGGGTGTTCGTCCGTCTGTCTGTCTGGCTGGTGCGTACGATAACTCTCGAAGGGAGTATCCGATTTGATCCAAACTAGGTACATCGTAATATTATTGTCGAACTTGGATCGAATTCGGAGTTGAGTCCACTCCTTCTGGTACCTCCCTCACAAAACACCAACATTTTCCCAGAAAATAATTTGCCGCATAAAACAAAAGGGATCATTCGATTTGGCTCAAACTTGGTAAATCCTAATATTTGTATCAGTGCTATGTCAGTTACGAGAATGAAAATATTGACCGACTTTATCATGTACCACCCCACAAGGGGTCAAACTTTTTGGAAAAATTATAACTCTTACAAAATGTGAAGTAAACCTCCGATAGTCTTCAAATTTCACACATCCCAATATGTACATTACCACAAGATATGGTGTGCACTTGGCATATATCGGCCTACTTCTTCTGGTACCTCTCCCACAAAGGGCCAATATTTTGAATAAATTCGAATTGATCATCCAATACTCTTAAAATGTCTTACATCTCAATGTTTTTACTAAAATAACGTCTGGTGTGAAGATGGAATATATAAGACCATTTGTTCTGGCACTTCCCCCACAAATGGTTAAAGTTTGGAATATCTCCTACAAAATGCGAATTAAGCATTCGATCCATTCTTAGCTTCACCCATTTCAATATTTCCCCTAACACAAGGTCTGATGTGTATCTTCCCCACAATAAGTTAACATTTTGTATAATTATTATGTCATAGCATGGAAGACAAGTCAGCGATTCTTATCAAACTTGGTTTATTTTAATATTTCTCTCACTTCTTTTGGTACCTCCCTCACAATGGAGGGAACATGGACAAAAAACAGCGATTTCCATCAAACTCCCTGTATTTCAATATTTCTGTTAACTATAGAGGGTGAGACAAAAACAAAAACTGCAACAAAGTCAGTTATAATTTTTATATTTTTATACCCTCCACCATAGTATGGAGGGTATATTAAGTTTGTCATTCCGTTTGCAACACCTCGAAATACACATTTTAGACTCAACAAAGTATATATATTCTTGATCAGCATAAAATCGTAAGTCGATTTAGCAATGCCCGTCCGTTTGTCCGTCTGTCCATCTGAAAACGGGTCATGTAGGTCCACGTCTTCGTATAGCCCCCATATAACGGTACCTCCCGATATTCGGTATTTTGATGATTTTAGCGACATTATTTACCGGAATTATTTCACATTTGTATTTGAAGCTCGTTATGGATACTACAGCCTATGCCAGAAAATTGTCTGCCCAAGTCCTCGTTTTATAACCCCCACGGTTTCTCCCTATATTCGGTACTTCGATGATTTTAGCTACATTATAAACAGACTTTTTTCAAGTTTCGCATTTGAATATTGGAATAGCTTGTGACAAAAATTTCCAATGCAGATCCAAGTCGTCGTATAGGCCCTAATATACCGCTATATTCGGTATTTTTATGATTTTAGTAGAATTTTTAACGGATTTTATTTTTTTGAAAATTGCCAAATATGTACCAAATGGTGGAGGGTATTCAAAGTTCGGCCCGGTCGAACTTACAGCTTTTTTACTTGTTTTTTATACCCTACAACACTATGTGTTGGCGGTATTATAAGTTTGATTGGCCAAATATGCGCTTTATGTATTTCCAGCCTTATAGCTTGTTTTAAACTAGTTTTAAGTTAATTTTAAACCAATTTATTTCCCCGCGGGGTGAACTAACTTATCGGCTGGTATTCTTCTTAAAAGAACAAAGGAGCTTTAGGTTGACTTAGTTCACTTTAAGTCCATAACTTATACTTGTTAGCCCTACGCTCCTTTTGTTCTTTTACGAAGAAGCTAGCCGATAACTTAAGGCAGTCAAAAAAAGCCTTTTATGTATTCTCAACTTAATGCTCCTTTGTCTTTAACGAAGAAGCCAATCGATAACTTAAGCCATAAAAAACCTTCTATGTATTTGCACTTTGGGATTTCTTTGCGATTTAAGTTTTACTCTAATCACTATTTTATGCACATATACCATGTAGGGTAAGTGTGCCTAAGTTCGGCATGTCCCAGTAGTCGGCACTTTTTATTTTTAAGCCCAAATAAATGAAACTATTATAACTAAATATATTTTGTTTACTTCAAATATATTGTCAGCTATCTTGGTGTACAATTTCGCTGAGAAAAGATCATTTATTCTAATAAAAATTAAATTTTTGTCTATGAAGGTCCTCAACAATCCATATTCTTAAGAAAAGTACAATAAAGACGTCGAATCAGTTTAACTAAACAAAAATATTATATTTCAATGAATTAATTTATTATTATTATTAATTATTCTTACAAAAAATGGTATGCCGACTGTTGGAAAATGCCATACCGACAATTGACAACGGGTGCCGACTACTGGCAAAAAAGCATTGTTTTAATAAAACTACAAATTTATGAAATTTAATAAAAAGTTGTTAAAACATTATTTATTATTGCAAAAACTATACAAAGTTTCGAATCTGAATAAATTAACGTTGTAATAATTGTAAAGTTACACTCAGAATGGTGAGCGATTAAAAACGCGAAAATCCTAAAAGTGCCGACTACTGGTACACTTACCCTACATATTTATGAGTCAAACAGGAATTACCACTTTGCAATAATTAAACTTTAGAGATAAGTAAATTAAATCAATAACAAGCCGTCATGCCATCATCAAATCTGCTATGTTTGTTCATAATTTGAACAAATTATGACATAATTTCACAGATGACAATTACAGCTCCCCAAAAACTATTCATATAAATAGAACAACTAAACTGGAGTATAGTCATCATTTATCACCAACCCTATATTCACGACCATCTCTCTTCACATCATTACACCTCGAGCTTTTAACCTCGCACGAAACAAAAAAAAATGGCAAAATATTTATTTGCATTGTCAGTTCTGTGCATTTTTGGAATTGCTGCATCCTTGGAGAAACAAGAGACGGAGGATGATTTAATGTCTAAAATGGAAACGTGCAAAACTGAAGCTGGAGCAACAGATGGTAATTATGTACAATTTTTTAATTCATTACTACTTTTTATACCCTCCACAATACTATGGAGGGTATATAAATTTTGTCATTCCGTTTGTAACTCCTCGAAATACTCATGTCAGACCCAACAAAGTACATATATTCTTGATCAGCGTAAAATTCTAAGTCGATTTAGCGATGTCCGTCTGTCTGTCCGTCTGTCTGTCCGTCTGTCTGTCTGTTGTAATCACGCTATCGTTCGAATGAATTGAGATAGATGGCTAAAATTTTGCACACATGTTTATTTTTCCAGTAAGCAGGTTAAGTTCGTAAATGGGCCATGTAGGTCCACGTTTTCATATAGCCCCCATATAACGGTTCCTCCCTATATTCGGTATTTTGATAATTTTAGTGACATTATTCACCGGAATTGTTTCAAATTTGGTATTTGAAGTTCCAAATGGATACTACACCCTAAGATAGAAAATTGTCTGTGCAAGTCCATGTCTTCATATAGCCCCCATGTAACGGCCCCTCCCGATATTCGGTATTTTGATGATTTTAACGACATTATTCACGGGAATTGTTTCAAATTTGGTACATTAAGTTCAAAATGGATACTACACCCTAAGACAAAAAATTGTCTGTGCAGGTCCACGTCTTCGTATAGCCCCCATATAACAGTACCTCCCGATATTCGGTATTTTGATGATTTTAACGACATTATTCACGGGAATTGTTTCAAATTTGGTACATGAAGTTCAAAATGGATACTACACCCTAAGACAAAAAATTGTCTGTACCTCCCTATATTTAGTATTTTGGTGATTTTAGCGACTTATTCACCGGAATTGTTTCAAAATTGGTATTTGAAGTTCGTTATGGGAACTACAGTCTGTGACAGAAAACTGTCTGTGCGGGTCCAGGTCTTCGTATATGCCCCATTTATCAGTACCTCTTATATTCGGTATTTTGACGATTTTAAGTACAATACCCACCGAAATTGTTTGAGATGTGGTATCTGAAGTTCATAATGGATGCTACAGCCTGTGACAGAAAATTGTCTATGCTGGTCCAGATCTTCGCAATTTAACGGCACCTCCTTATATACGATATTTTGATGATTTTAGCTTCATTACTCACCATTTATTTCAAGTTTCGAATTTGAATATTATATTTTGAAAATTTCCAAATTCGTTGCAAATGGTGGACGGCATTAAAAGTTCGTCCCGGCCGAACTTACTGCTTTTTAACTTGTTTTTAAATAATTAAATTACAATGATTCGTATATTTGCCGTCCTCTCTGTCATGAGTTTTATCCCGATTAATGTTAACTATCGAAAACATACGTTGTATTTATTGTGATTGATCAAATGACACCAGTGACAGAGATGGGTACTAACTTTCTATGCAGAAAAAAATGACAAGGTAAATTACTGAAAAATGCAGAGCTGGATATCGTTATTTTTAATGAGACTACCTTGAAATAATTGTAGCACACTGTAACTATGGTTACATTAATTTTTACAAATTCTTAAAAATTTATTGAAAAAAAAAATTATTTATTGATCAAATTTTAGAATAAGTTTAGATTTGTTCGAATTTTTCACTTTCGACACGAATTATAGCCTTCAAATGGCCAATGAAACCGTCACACGGTGCCCAAATGTTGCTCTGCGGTATTTTGGCCCGCTGGAAATGAAGCGAGGAACCTCATTTTGTAACCATTCTTGGGTGGCGCGTGCTGAATGCGAAGGTTCTGAGTCCTGTTGGAATGTCCAAAGTTTGCGGCCAAAATGTGCCGCGTGCCCAAGGCTTTAATAAACCCTCCAGAATATTTTCACGATAATATTCGGCATTTATTCTGATGCCACGGTTGATACGAGCGGAGCGAAGAGTGACCATCGATGCACAGGTGCACATTTTCAGCTGACCTCTTTGGCAAGTAAACACGATAATTTTGTTTGTTTACAAACTTCTGGACAACGAATGTTTTCTCATCGGAGAAAACCAAATTCGGCAGTTCACCACTTTCGGGCAAACGAAGCAACTCTTTAGCTCTTTTGAGTCTATTTTCTTTCTGTTGCGGTGTAAGTTCTTGCACTATTTGGAATTTCAAGGGCATTACCCCGAGCTCATTTTTCAATATTTGCTGCATAAAATATAGCGTTCAGCTAACGAGCCATTTTTCGGCCACTGCAACGCGGGTTTTGATCAAGTCGCTTCTTTTCTTTTCGAACCATTTCTGCCGATGTTGCTATTTTCTTCCGTCCACTTCTTTGACGTCTGGCTATCACGTAACGAGCGATGGTACGAGACACAATAGATTTATTCACATTTAAATGCTGGAGTGCTCTAACGATAGCCACTTGAGGTTTTTCAGCCAAATATAAAAAATCACACTATCACGCTTGAATTCCATCACGTATAATTTTTTTCTGGAAAATTCTCACCAAAATGCTTTTGTACGCTTGTAAACCATATAAACCATATAATGAGCTGTCACTGGAATAATTTTAACAGCTGTCGGACAAGTGACGGCCTGAAGTTTGTTGCAGTTTTTTCATCTCAACCTGTACAGCCCAGAAATACCTCTGTCAAGTTTTATCAAGATCGGTTGGACTTTGAGTAAAAAAAGGAAAAAATGCAGAACTAGCAGATACTTGTAATCTTTAATGTAGATCTCGATCTTCAATTTTTGCTCCTCCACCATTCTTTGTGAATTTCCACGAACGAAAATACCCACATAAAATTCATTTTTCTCAAACTTTCAGCTGATCTCAAAGCAATTGTGGCACAAAATTCTTCATCAACAGCTGAAGGGAAATGTTTGCGCTCTTGCCTCATGAAAAAATACGAAATGGTAAGATTTCTATTCAAGTAAAAATAATATGAAATCACTGAAACCTCACATAATTTGTCATCCAACAGATGACTGTCAATGGCACATTCGTCCCTGACATTGCCCTTAAATACGCTGAAAGATACGCTGATGGCGATGCCGAAAAACTAAAGAAAGCCAAAGAAATCGTAAAATCCTGCGCTCGGATTAAAGTATCGCCTGACCATTGCCAAGCTGCTGAACAATACAGCAAATGCTTAATGAAAAAGGCTGCGGATCGTGGGCTAACGCAATTCAAATTGTAATTGAGCATGGATCTAATGATGGAAGTCTCGAATAGATTTCCCAGAAATAACTGAATTTTTAGAATATTGATAATTTTTAGAGAAATTTTCTGCAAATTACATATTTATATCGCTCTTTATTTTTAATTTCAATGTTAAATATGGCACAACCAGAAGGGTAGAATAATTTTAAAAGAACTCGGAAACCTGCAATTCAGCACATAGTCTTATTGTAGCAAATAGAATTTTTAAAAACGCAACAATTGGTATTCTTTATTTTACATTTTTTTTCACAAAATTTTTATATTAAAGAACAGTCACAAAACATGAATAGAATGTTAAGCTTAAAACAATTGCAATTACTTAACCAGTAAGGAAAAGTCAAAAGTCTGGCGGGGTCGACATATGATACCCTACACCACTATGCATATTTATTAGAGCTCCCGTAAAAAAATGAATTTATTTGAAGTAGATCATACCACCAATCAACATTTGGCTTTATGGGAGGCACTTCCAATTCTGAATCTATTTTCACTTAATTTGGAGACATTTTAGTATTGCATACCAAATAAAATTGCTATAAAGTGCATGAGAAGCATTATATTAAAAAACCAGTAAAGAAAGTCTTAAAGTCGGGCGGAGCCGACTTTATGATACCCTACACCACATTGCTAATTTAGTAGAACTGCTCATAACAATTAAAAGTCTTTATTTGAGAATTCAATCATACACGCTATGACTATAATTATAATTTAAAATTCAAAGGACTAAATATGCCGAAGCATTTGTATCTTTTAAATTCGGACATGTATTGCCCATTTGGTGCACAATCAATTTGAAATCGGATAAAAATATATATGGGAGCTATATCCAAATCGGAACCGATCGCGATAAAATTTGGCAAAGATATTTCTGAGGTGTATTTGATATATTTCTCTGACAAAAATATATAACAAATATGACAAATCGGATGAAAAGTATATATGGGAGCTATAGCTATATCTGAACCGATCTTCACCAATTTTGGCATACTAGCTTCTAGATTAAATTCGGTCGTAAATGCCAAATTTCATCCTATTTGGGCAAATATTAGACGTTTGGTGCACAATCAAAGGTATATTGGACGAAGTTATATGTGGGAGCTATATCCAAATCGGAACCGATCTCGATAAAATTTGGCAAAGATATTTCTGAGGTGTATTTCCCTGACAAAAATATATAACAAATATGACAAATCGGATGAACAGTATATATGGGAGCTATAGCTATATCTGAACCGATCTTCACCGAATTTGGCATACCAGCTTCTAGACTAAATTCGGTCGTAAGTGCCAAATTTCATCCCATTTGGGCAAATATTAGACGTTTGGTGCACAATCAAAGGTAAATCGAACGAAGTTATATATGGGAGCTATATCCAAATCTGAACCGATCTCGATAAAATTTAGCAAAGGTATTTTTGAGCTGTATTTGATATATTTCCCCAAATATTGTTGTTACAGAGTGCATATTACGGCTGTGGAGGACAAAAATAACAAATCTAATGAACAATATATTTGGGAGCTATAGCTATATCTGAACCGATTTCGATCAAATTAGGCATACTTATTTTGAGGTCCAATCTGATCGTACGTACAAAATTTCATACTATTCGGACTGATATTACACGTTTGGTGCACAGTAAAAGGCAAATCGGACGAAGGGAGCTATATCTAAATTTTTACTGATTATCTCCAATTTCAATAGTGTTCGTCTTTGTTTTGTGCAAAATTTCATCTGGATAGGGCAATAAATGCGAACTGTACTTTGTTTACAAAAATACATGGACAGACGGACAGAAGGACGGACGGACGGACATGCATAAATCGACTTAGAATGTGATTCTATGCAGATCATCAAAAGGAACTATGGGTCTATCTCGTTTCCTTTTGCCTGTTACAAACAAATGCACAAAGCCATAATACCCTGACCACCTTGTAGTGTAGGGTATAAAAAGGATTTATGGTACTTTGAATTACGAATCGCATCGTATGAACCTTGTACACTATTTTGAGTGCGAACAACACATTTCAATTCCAATAGGAACATGGCAAGCCTCGGAATCTTTTATAAAATGCGAATTCGAATATTACGCCCATCCGAACACTTCAGCAGTGCATTGACCTCATCCAACTTTTGTATGAAATGATCCATCATATTTATGTGCATTCATGTATAAACATTCAATTAAATTAATAGATATTATAATTCAATTAATGGTTAATTAATGATTGTTTCTAAATTATTCTAACAATGTATATTGATTAACATACAAACAGTCTGACTAAACTCTGTCTAATTGACATTGAATATATTTTTAAATGAAGAACCTTATAATTTAACGGCTAAATAAATTTCATATTTTCTTCTAATAAATAGCCATCAGAATTTTCAAAATATAACGAGTTTGAATTGAATTGTCTAAATAGAAACATTCAGTGTTCTCATAACAAAATAAAAATGGCAAAATATTTATTTACACTTACTGTCCTGTGCATTTTCGGAGCTGTTATAGTACGTGGTGCAATCGATAAGAGTGCAGTGATAGCCGATTTTATGTCGAAAGGAGAGGCATGCAAGGCCGAAGTTGGTGCAAATGATGGTAAGCCAGTGGGAAAAAATCACATTGTCAAACATACAGAGTCACTAGTAGAATTCTCTTAATATTTTTGTCAATATCGACCAGAAATCTTGTTCCTCCTTTGTTCCTCTACGAAGAAGCCAGCCGATGACTTAAGCCAGTAAAAAAGCATTTTATGTATTCTAACCTTAAGGCAATTTTAAGAGTGTAAATGTGAAAATACATAAAACGCCTTTTTATACCCTACACCACAAGGTGGTCAGGGTATTATGTCTTTGTGCATTTGTTTGTAACAGGCAAAAGGAAACGAGATAGACCCATAGTTCCTTTTGATGATCTGCATAGAATCACTTTCTGAGTTGATTTATGCATGTCAGTCCGTCTGCCCGTCCATCCGTCCGTCTGTCCATGTATTCTTGTGAACAAAATGCAGATCCGATTGAGATGAAATTTTCCAAACAACATTTGTTTGGCCCAAGGACGAACCCTATTGAAATTGGAGATAATCGGTAAAAATTTAGATATAGCTCCAATATATCTCTTCGTCCGATTTGCCTTTTATTGTGCACCAAACGTCTAATATTTGCCCAAATGGGATGGAATTTGGCACATACGACCGAATTGAGATCGGTTCAGATATAGCTATGGCTCCCATATATATTGTTCATCCGATTTGTTGTATTTGTTACCCACAGCCGTAATATGCACTCCGTAACAACGATATTCAGGGAAGTTTATCAAATACAGCTCAGAAATATCTTTGCCAAATTTTATCGAGATCGGTTCCGATTTGGATATAGCTCCAATATATATCTTTATCCGATTTCAAATTAATTTTGCACCAAATGGGCAATACAAGTCCGAATTTAAAAGATTCAAATGCTTCGGCATATTTAGTCCTTTGAATTTTAAATTATAATTATAATCATAGGGTGTATGATAGAATGGAGGAGCTCAACTAAATTAGCAAAGTGGTGTAGGGTACCATAAAATCGGCCCCGCCCGACTTTAGGACTTTCTTTACTGGTTTTGATTGGCTTAAGTCATCGACGGGCTTCCTCGTAGACGAACAAAGGAGTTTAAGGTCAACTTAGTTCAATTTTGGCACCATGTTCTAATTTCCTCATTTTTAAAATTACTTAAATAAAGCGAAAGATAAATGAAGTGCCTGGATTTTATTTCAAAAAATGATCCGGAGTATCCACTCTTTCAATTCCATGGCTAAACTGGTTAATATCATCAAAGCGCGCCCCACAATCTACGTTTCTTCGTCGCTGATTTTGAAAATCTATATCTATAAAAGAGGAAAATGTTTGTATGTTTGTTTGTTTGTTTGTTTGTTTGTTTGTTTGTAATTTATGGACTCGAAAACCGCTGAATAGATTTTCCTGAAAATTTCCATATATACTGCAACATCACCTGAAAGTAACATAGGCTATATACATTTTTGAATTTCCACTTGGAACTGGAGATATAGCATCAGATTCGGAGGTACCTCCCAAAAATTTAGATTTTATATGCACATATCTATTGATTGGTTGAAGATACAGTCTCAAAATTTGGAATACGTAACGGAATTTGGAACAAAAATAAGTTTGCCAAATTATATTGTAATCGGTTCAGATTTGGATATAGCTCCCATATATATTTTCGACCGATTTCATGTATGGTGGACCAACACGATATGTATTTCCAATTGTAATGAAATTTAAAATAAGTAACGGAATTGGGAGCCAAAATGAATTGGTCAAATTAAATTAAAATCGGTTCAGATTTGGATATAGCTCCCATATATATTTTCGACCGATTTCATTTTTTTGATGCACCAAACACGCTATGTATCTCTAATTTCAATGAAATTTGGAATGTGTAGCGGAAATTAAAACAAATATACATTTGTCAAATTATATTAAAATCGGTTCCGATTTGGATATAGCTCTCATATATATTTTCGAACCATTTCATGTATTTTATGCACCATACACGATATGTATGTTGGATTCCAAAGAAATTTGGAATATGTATCGGGATTTTGATCAGAAAATAAATTAGTCAAATTATATTAAAATCGGTTCAGATTTGGATATAGCTCCCATATATATTTTCCGCCGATTTCACATATTTGATGCACAAAACACGATACGTAGATCCGATTCCAAGGAAATTCGACATGAGTGGCTAAATTTGGTACAAAAATAAATTTGACAAATTATATTCAAATACGCTCAGATTTGATTATAGCTCCCATATATATACTCAGCCGATTTCACATATTTGATGCACCCAAAGCGAGAGAGACAAAATCTGGCACCAGAAAAAATTGCCAAATTATATTAAAATCAGTTGAGGTTTGGATATAGCTAACATATATACTTCGGCCGATTTCATACATGCTATGCACCAAATATGATATATATGACCGATACCAATGAAATTCAAAATGTGTGGCGGAATTTGGTTACAATAATAAATGTGACAAATTAATTGGAAATTAGTTAAGATTTGGATATAGCTCCCATATATATATTATCGGCCGATTTCACATATTTGACGCACCAATTTCAATAAAATATGAAACGTGTGGCGGAATTTGATGTTAAAGTAATTTTTTTAAAATTATATTTAAATCGGATCAGATTGGGATATGATTTTAATAAGAACCATTGACCCACAACGCCTTAGGCTAACACTAAAAAACAACACAACAATTGATTTGAAATACGCTTATTACGGCGAAGTATGTTGCTATCTCGAATTCACTAATAGAAATAGAAATGCCACTCTACTTAAAAAAAATTGCAGTTTACTGCACGCTTGGTATTTGCTATGAAATAAATAAATCCGAAGGACAAACCCTTCGTGTATGCATGTCATGTTACTGCTTTTGTAATGATTTTGTTTATTAACGCATTAAATTAGTGCAATATTTTTTTAATTTTTAAATTTGTTTTTTCTTTATCCAACATATATTCGTAAATAAAATTTTGAACATATATAAAATTAAAAGGGGTAGCGAAGCGCACCGGGTTCAGCTAGTAAACTATAAATCAGACACAGAACACTGTGCACATATTTATAGAAACACGATAAAAAGACACCGAAAAATTTAGTCTGAAATCTCTTTAAGCTGATGTGGAAGTAAAATTATTTTGAGAATATGAACAAATGTAATTACTGTATTTCTTAATTGTTTATGGAATATTAAAATGCATGTTGTTTTTAAAGTTCAATCCCTGATGATGATCGTCAATGCTAATCGAAATAAAAAAAACTATTCTACTAACCTCGAGCCATATTAAATAAAAAGAAAAATATTTAAGAACTTATAAAAAAGAAGCTCAAGACTCTAAAAGCTATTTTATTCTTTTCATATTTTTAGCTGATCTTGGTGAAATAATTGGGAAAAAGCCAGCCTCAACACCCGAGGGAAAATGTTTGCGTGCATGTATTATGAAGAAATATGAAGTGGTAGGTTAAATAAATCAATACCCACAGTAATGATTGACAAACCATTTAAATTAAACATTAATAATACTTCGTTTATTCTGTAGATCGATGCAAATGGTAAATTCGCACCGGCTGTTGCTCTCAAGCATGCTCAGATGTATACCGAAGGAGCTGAAGATAAAATGAAAATTGCTCAAGAAATTATTGATTCATGCGCCAAGCTAAGTGTATCCGATGACCACTGTGAGGCTGCTGAGGAGTATTGTAAATGTCTACACGAACAAGCAATGGCACATGGTGTTGAGGATATGGACATATAGATTTATATTTGGAATTGTTTTTAAATCGGCTGGCCAGGGACATTACCGAACGATCGTTTTACTTAACACCTTTACTTATGTTTTTAATAAATTGTAATTTTTCGTTTTTATTGCAAACTATATTTAGCCTTTTATTTACTCGGAACCATTGTAGGGTATAGCAATAACCTGAATACATTTTTTTTCTTTTGGTAGCATTGTAATGTCAAAACATATATACTGTTTTTGTACTTTTATGTATTGTTTTGAATAGTAATTAAAATAATTTAATATAAATTGATATTTGCAGCTTTTGCGGGGAAGATACTTTTGCGTTTTGAGATGAAAAAGAATTGTGGTGGTATTATGAACTCGATATTGTGAAAAATTCTCGTCCTTCAATTTGTTTTTTTTCGCGATATTCTCTTGAATGAGAATATTGTGAAAGAAGTGTCAATTAAACAAAACTACTTGTTGCATAATTACAGAAGGTAGAACAAAGCTACTTGCTAAAAAAGAAAATTTGAAATGGTTTCAAATTTAGACACAACGAGAATGTATATTTTCCACGTTAACGGGAAACAAAATGTATAATTGTGGGATAAAACAATTTTCTGGTGAAACCCCAATCATTCATTCATGTTTTGTGGGATTTCCGCACAATTTTGTAAAAAAAAATATTTAATAAACAATACAAATTGTTGCAAGCTGAAGAAGTCTATTATATCTATCGTTTTCTGCAGGAATTGTCCAGTAACTTCTTTCTGAGAGAGTAAGGTAGTTTTATTCTCTTTTGCAAGAAAAATGCGAAAAGTAAACAGACGGCATTCCTGCAGAAGCTTGCAACAAACCAATTTGTCCGCCATTATAAAGAATTAAAAGAAAGAAAACACAACCAGTTTAACAAGTTTTTGAAATAAAAAGGAAATAAAATAAAAAAATGAGCATTAAAAGAAAAATAGATTTGATGTGTTCCTCGGAAACCTTTAAACGTGTTAGTAATGGTAAGTTTTTTTGTGTAGGATAAAAATACTTTTGTATAATGACATTTGTATTTCTTTTAGATAAAGAGTTTAGCAAGTGGTATCGAGGGGATTGAGGAATGTGACGAGTTAATTTTTTCGCCGAATGTTGTTCCCGCGAAAGCATGGAGGAGCCTCTGTTGTTTAACCCGATCTTTGAGCCTCAATGCCAACTCGAAGAAGGCTGTGAACCACAAAGCCCAGAGCCCGACGGCAAAAAGTCCATTTGGTTGGATTCCTCAACAAAACTTTTAATTAACAAATATAAGGATTTTCGGCCTTTAGTCGGAAAAGTGGCTTCCCTAAAAAACAAAAACAGATGTGGACAAAGATTTCCGAGGAGCTTAAGGCGAATGGGCATGATTTTACCATAGCGGAAGTGGAAAATAAATAGTATAGTTTGGAGCGGCAATATAAGATCATAATTCAAAAACTGGTCGTGATCGACAGACATGTCCCTATAAAAGGTAATCAAATTGTTAATTAAAAAGTTAAAAAGTATCAGTCATTTTGCGGACAAGTGTATACTCTCAGCCAATGTTTGATTATTTAAATGAATTTGTATTTGTTTAATGACTACATAAAAAGTTGATTTTGATCACACCCATGGTGATTCCGAAGAAGTTGGCCAATGTTGTCCATTAATATCATTAGCCTGATATAAGCATAAAAGGGTATCAGGTATATCGAAAACTTCCTTCATTTTATATGAGACCTGTCATATTTTTTGGATGATTGCTGATATATTCCACTTAATCTAATACTAATAAATTTATTGTGATGTGAAAATTTAAAGAACATGGAAAATGATGACCGACATTGGTAGAGGGTAGAATTAAACTTTCACATAATGAAAATTGAAAAAGTTCAGGTCGCAAAATTCAACACAGATTTTACTTGTTTTTCAAATAATCAGCCTGACAGATGCAGAGGGTATATTCCGGGATATTTAGAGTCGATCTATTCATGTACCCCTTGGACCCCAAAGGCCCAACATTTTGAACAATTAAAAATGTTCGCAAAATAATTTTATTATTTTGTATTACAGTGAACTAATATAAAATAAATCCCGAATATGTGTTGGACAACAAAGCTGAGGTTACGACGGAAGACCTTTTAACTGCTGATTCATTTAATACTTCTGAAACAGGTATTAGAGCCATACTGTGCTGTTATACAGAGTGCTATGTTTTAATTTTCAGAAAATCTGGACCCGCTTCCATTAACCTCGAAAAAAGGAAGACTAATGGCCAAGATTATTTAATGGAGTATGCTAAGAAAAGGAAGGAAAGTGAAAAGCAGTTAAGAGAACTAATAGAAAGAATGATGAAAAAACGGGAAGAAAGGGCCTTGAGAAAAGAGGAATTGATGACCAAAAAAAAAGAACTTCTGCAATCTCTAATAAATTCCTTAAAGAAATAAATTTTAATGATCATGTTTTTACAATATTTAATGAATTTTATTATTAAAATGATTCGTTATAGAATCAAATGAATTCAATAAAATGAATTCAATAATAAATACATCTTAATTAATATGAAATCTAAAAAAAATATTTGGTTAAGTACTTTTATTTTGTATATACTGACAAATGGGGTCTCTGACAATATTACCCTGAGACACATTTGTCAATTCATTGGTTTCTTGCATTTGATTTGTAGTGATTTCAGACGTGAAATCGATATCATCTTCGTTTGCTAAATTATGCAATACACAGCAGTCTCTAATAAAGTGACAAATCTTTTTGATCCCTCTAAGTTTGCAGTAGTATAGCTGCCTGACTCTTTGCTTTAATATTCCAAACGTATGTTCAATGCATACCCGACCTGAACTCAATTTAATATTGAACTGCTTTTGATTTTTGATTTTTGCTCTGGTCAAATGGCCATTATCTTTGTATGGGGTAATTAAAAATTGGTTACAGGGATATGCCGAATTACCGAGTAGATAGTAATCTAAAAAACTTTCCCCCAATCCCCAATTTCTGAAAACCCAGCTGTCGTGGCATGAGCCAGGATACCCAACAAATATATTAATAAATTTCTTTTCTTGGTTACATATACCTTGTAAGCATAAAGTTACATCGCCTTTCCTTTCGACATAATCATCCTTTCCAGAGCTGGGAGGGTCAATAACTATATGTGTGCCGTCAATACAACCTGCGAAAATAAACATATCTTTATTTTTACTAAGCAATTGAAAATTTGGTACTACCTATTGCCTTTAAAAAAAAAAAAAACATTTGTTGTCAAAAAATATTGCGGTGCTTATTTTTTCCTCCTTAGTAGGCCATTTTATGACTTCCGGACTTATCGAACTCAAAAAGAGAGATATCCTTGATATAATTGCACCTACCGTAAACAGAGATATATCGAATCGGTCTGCAATGTCTCTATAACTGCACGCCTCGTGGCCGGCAAACCCCAAACATACCAGGATATTCGTCTCTTCTGAGAATTTCTTGTCTGGACGCATTTTTTTATACATGGCATAGTTGGATAACCTTTGACGTAGGCTTTTAAATAGGCTTTTTGATATACGGAAATGTCTTCTAAACTCTTCCTCCGTGTATATAGGCACAATACATTCAATGTATTTTTTACCGTATTTCTTTTGTTTTTCTTCGCAGTATGCAAAACATCATGGAAAAGTTTGTCCTCTCTTATCAATATTTCGTAAAAAATACCTCATCATCATCATCACTTTCAGATGAGGATGATTCCATCAACAATGTAGTAACCACCTTAACAATTGTTCCTTAAAAAGAAGAAAGTCAGAGCTATATTTTGTACCATTCCTACTTTTTACACTGAAATAAAAAAACTTAATTTGGAAACCATCATAACTACCTTTCTTCATATCCAAATCCATATTTGGGCTTTATAATTTGCAGCTACTGGCTCCAGAGACACACTGATCTTCTTCCGTCATATGTCTAAAAATGTTGAAAATAGTCTTTTATTTTCCTATTACATATTAATACTTACGTTTTACTCGTTTTGTAAAGTTTTTCTACAAAAACAATTAGTCTTGCTATTTCCAAATAATAAATAATAATAAATAAACAAACAATAGAAAACATCTGATTGAATGTCGATGAATGAGAAGAAGAAGAGTTGCAAGTGATTGCAAGAAGAAAATTGTCCAGCAAGAACAAAAGGCAGCACTGAAAGAACTGTCAAAATTTCTTTCTCCAACCGCTCTCTTTTGCAGAACTTTTGGGTTAACAGACGACTTCCAGTAACAATTTGTAACAATTGTTACAAATTTTAGGGTAACCAGACACTAATGTTATTTTGGAGTTATTCCACAAGATTGAATCTAAAATAGTAAGACAATGCAGTTTTATCATGATTAAGAAGGTAAAGAATTGCAATCATGTTTACTTTTTTTCAAAATTATTCGTCAACATCTCATTGTCAAAATTTATATTTATAAATCCATTGTATACACAGAAATCAGAGATGGGAACCTGCTGTCTATGCAATGAAATTTGACAATGTAAATTACAGAAAATACAGAGATCGGGATGCTTATTTGAAATGACTTTACGTTCTTAATTTTACCATGGATGTATCTACCTGTATTATTCTACCATGCTTGATACCATGGTAAAATTAAGAAGTTAAAGTCATTTCAAATAAGCATTCCCATCTTAGAATTTTCTGTAATTTACCTTGTCAATTTTCACTGCATAAAAACGGGTTCCCGTCTCTGATTTATGTACAATGGATTTATTAATAAACGTTTTGACAATGAGATGTTGTCAAATGAATAATTTTGAAAATATTTTAAACACGAGATTGCATGATTTTACCTTTTTATTTCTACCATGCTTGATACAAAAAAAGCAAAGAGATAACCCGAAGTTCCATAACCTGCAAGAATCTACTAAAACAGCTTCGGAAAACTGCAGAGATATAGCACTGAGGCTAAGGCCTCTTTCCGTCACATTTATACAAAATTGGATGCAACGAGTTTTTCTTTGTTCAGTTCCAGTATCTTCAAGAATCCAATAGTTTCGCATTTTTTTCGATATTATAAAGGAATATCGGTTATCGTAGTAAAAACTTTAAGATTCGTGCAGTTCTGGAATAGAGCACTCATTTTATATATTTGCTCTATTTTAAAATGGTTTTAACGCAAACGATGAATTAATATCGTTATATCGTTACCGCCCCAACTGCAATTGAAGTTTCTTCTTAACATTGATTTTGAAAACTTGTTTTTTTTTTTTTTTTTCGAACAATAAATACAAAAACAAAATTGGCACACTCAGAAAAGTAATTGTAATCAGCTGGTAGTTTAAACACACCTTTTAATTTACCATTAAAGCTACAGATAAAAAACAAATGAATAATGCTGGGCAAAATAAAAGATCAATACATTAGCGAAAAATAAACAAATATATAACATTTTCATCGTTTTTGCAACTGTTGAAACTACCACTTTACAAAGACAAATTTGGACAAAAAATATATATGAACCATGGCAGAAGAATTCAGGTAGATGCATCAACGCTTGGGAACATTGATACGCTGCTGGGATAATGAACTGTCAAACCAATTTTGGAATTGAAAATGTTGAATGAAAAATTATTTAAATTTGTAAAAATTTTTGAATTTATATTTCAAATAACATTTAAAATTTGTTGACATATCATTGTTCCCAAGCGTTGGTGCGTCTACCAGTATTCTTCTACCATGTTGCAAACGCATGGCATGAGATCTATTGAACATCGTTTGAACACCACATCAAGGAACTATCGATGTTTTCGAGGAATTTGCCAACTTGACGTAATATATACATACCAACTACCGGTTATTGAGATATTTTTATTGAACATTGGCAACCCTAGACGCTAACTCGTTGAGTTTTTTGTTTGACGGTCGGCGTGCTTTCATTTAATTTCTGGATTTTTCGTGTATTTCTTCCTGCATTTTATTAGTTACGAAATTAAATTATGGATGATGAAGCTGAGACCTACAAACTGTGGCGTATTCGCAAAACCATTATGCAGTTAAGCCACGACAGAGGTTATTTGGTGACACAAGATGAATTGGATCAGACATTGGAACAATTCAAGGAAATGTTTGGCGACAAGCCCAGTGAAAAACGACCGGCTCGTTCGGATTTGATTGTTTTGGTGGCCCATAACGATGATCCTACCGATCAGATGTTTGTGTTCTTCCCCGACGAACCTAAAATCGGAATCAAGACAATTAAGACCTATTGTACTCGTATGCAGGAGGAGAATATTCATAGAGCTATTGTTGTTGTTCAGGCTGGTATGACACCCTCGGCTAAGCAATCTCTCGTTGATATGGCTCCCAAATATATATTGGAACAATTCTTGGAATCCGAATTGCTGATTAACATCACTGAACACGAGTTGGTTCCGGAACATGTGGTCATGACACCTGAGGAGAAGCAAGAGCTGTTGGCTCGATACAAGTTGAAGGAGAACATGTTGATGAGAATTCAGGCCGGTGATCCAGTCTCTAGATATTTTGGTCTTAAAAGAGGTCAGGTTGTAAAGATTATTCGTTCTTCTGAGACGGCTGGACGCTATATTTCTTATCGACTGGTTTGCTAAAAGAAGAAACCGGGGACAATATATATAAGATAGTTTAATAAATGCATTTAGATTATAGAATTGGATGACTGGAGAGAAATAAATAATAATTTTTAAGCAAATCACTAACATTTAAGAGACTACACTCTTTCAATATTCGTCAGGATAGAATGAAGAAATATTTTTGCATAGCCACCACATTGAAGGTTTCTGCCCAATTTCATTCCAAATTTGTTTTAATTGGATATGTCGGGATCTCAGCATAGGTAATTTGGGTTCTCTGTACAATAATTTGCTACTCGCCATAATTAATCAATGAAGTTCTACTAACATAGGCATAGTCTCATTTAATGATATCCTTTATTTTAAAGATTTCTGCCATAATTTCCAACAAAATATGCTAAATTTCAATGAGTAATTAAACTTATAGCACAAATAATTATCAAAAGTTCGCCTTTTGAGAATAGCTATATTTTATATTTAGCCATAAGTCAAGTTTCTACACACTGGAAGGGTTTCACATTTAGCTTCGAAAACTTAGTTTCTTGCCAGTTGTTCCCCAATGGAAACTTGACATTCCAATTTTCTTTAACATTTTACAAACTGAAGCAAGAACGTACTGAGCACACACGCATAACGCGTGATGTTTCGAATATTGAGGTAAATTGTTTGTTATATTCTTTTGAATAATAGAAAGTAAAAAAGCTGTAAGTTCGGCCGAGCTGAACTTTGAATACCCTCCACCATTCCAAATTCTGATAAAATCTTTAATATACCGAATGTAGCTGTCGTATTAGGGTCTATACAACGACATAGACCTACATAGGTAACATTTGTCACTAGCCATTACAATATTCAAATGCAAAACTTAAAAAATCATTATTAACGATGAAGCTAAAATCATCAAAATACCGAATATCGGGAGGTACGTTATATGGGAGCTTTACGAAGACGTGAACCTGCACAGACAATCTTCTGTCAAGGGCTGCATCATCCATTACGAACATCAAATACCAAATTTGTAACAATTCCGGTGAATAATGTCGCTAAAATCATTAAAATACCGAATATCGGGAGGTACCGTTATAAGGGTGCTTTACGAAGACGTGGACCTGCACAGACAACTTTCTGTCTTAGGCTGTAGTATCCATTACGAACTTCAAATACCACATTTGAAACAATTCCAGTAAATAATGTTGCTGAAATCAACAACGTACCGAATATCGGGATCTACCGTTATATGGGGGCTGTATCAAAACGTGGACCTACATGGCCCATTTTCAATACCAAAAGTTCTACAGACTAGCATACATTTGAGTGAAATTTTATTAATCTTCTTCAATTCGTTCGGAAGCTGGAGTGATTTCCACAGACGGACGGACATAGCTAAATCGACATAGAATTTTATGCCGATCAAGTATATATAAACTTTGTGGGGTCTAAAATGTTTAACGAGGTGTTACAAACGGAATGACAAACTTAATATACCCTCCATACTATGGTAAAGGGTAAAAAAAAGAAAATTTTATCCACCTATTTTAAGAGTGGATATTTTCGATTTGGGAGATCGGTTATGAAACAAGTTAACGAAATTTTTTAACAGATTTTTCTGTTACTCCCAATCAATCATTAAATTTAATTATTGTTGCTTACAATTATTCTCATTTTTGTCCCTCATCCATTTCAAAGAAGAGCTAAATCTTGAAGAAACTGTCCTCACAACTTCACGTTAAAAAGGTACCTTGATTTACCTTACTTTTTTCCTATAGTTTTGATTATAATTTATCCTTTTTATCCATTTCCTGCTTTTGTTTCAAAAATAATATCCATTATCAAACAAATTTAATTATATTTTATGAATACAAGATCTTAACATTGCAACTAAAATATACACACTTAACTTATTTCATTTATTGTAAGTACTCGCTTTTTGGGTTTCTCACCCATAACAGCAGCCACGGCCGCCACCGTCGTCCCATGATCTTTTGTCATGTGCCGAGAGAGACCACGATAATGAGCGTACGTTTTGCCACAAAGTTTACACACGCTTTTCTCTTGGCTATGCACCGTGCGATGTTGAAACAATAGCTTGGAATTGGTAAATCCTTTACCACAAATATTGCATATGGAATCTCGAATATTATTGTGCGCCTTGAGATGCCAATTTAATAATTTCTGCTGGGTAAATCCTTCGCCGCAAATGTCACATATAAACTCTTTCTCATACTCCGGGTGATTTTGGAAATGTAATTTAAGTTCCTTTTTACATGGAAAACCTTTGGAACAGTATTTGCACACAAAAGGAAAATCTTGGGTATGCCTTCTTAGATGTATGACGTACCCAGGTTTTTGAGTAAATTCATAGTTACAAATGGAACATTTAAATGGTTTTGTGCCATCGTGCTTGGCCGTGTGTATTCGAAATGTGGCAATGTTCATTAACACTTTTGGACAATATTGACATTTAAATGGGCCCAAATGTGGTAGGAGAAACGAAATATGCTCATAAAAGTTACTTGTGGATTTGTATTCCTTGGAAGGTTTACTAGACGAAAAATCAATGCTCTTTTCCTTCTCCTTTTTTACAATTTTATGTATAAACTCAATTGTATTTTCCATTTCTTCGCCGGAATAGTTTAGTTGTAGCTCTTTACAAACTTCTTCTATGATCGATTGCAATGTTGTCTGTCTTCTTTGCTCGGAATAGTAGAATATGTCCTGTTCGTTCCACAAACATGAATATTTCCTATAAATTTGTATTATTCTGATAATTTGATCATCATTTAGCTTGGGTTTGGCCAGCATCTGTTCTTCCTGCAACTAAAATATCCACAAAATTATTTGCTATTAATTACGCATGGAAATACATTTATTTACCTCTTGAATAAAGCTTAGAGTTGGCTTAAGAAACTCCAAATTATCATAGAACCACAAGGGTTTATAGTCCTTATCTTTGTTTTTTGTATAGTTCATACGTATGCGTACATCACGAATGTAGCGCACTCTCATGTATTTTATGCACTTTTCAGCATCTCTTATTGTCATGGGGACGTTTACCTGTTCCAGTTCTTGACATATTTGTTTCAAGCATTCATCGCGTTTCTTTCGACACCGATTTACTAGTTTTGGAGGTCTAGTGGCATCCCACAGTTCGTCCTGTTTTTGATAGGCAGTTATAAATGCAATTACACTTTCTTTGTTATTCATAAATTCATCAATGTCTAAGCCATCGTCCAATTTAACTTTGGACTTTTTGGCGGGGGACGGTTTCAATTCATCGTCATCATCTACCTTGACGTCATCCAGATCGCAATCTTCGTCATCATAGTTGTCATGAAGCACGAAGTCATCATCGTCCTCTTCATAGTCGTAGTCAATATCTTCATTGTAAACTGTGGGTTTTTGTGTAGTGTCGGCTTTGATTTTTAACTTTTCCAATTGCAATTCCTCCTTTTTATCGACTGCCTCTTTCATAACACATTTTTCTTCAGCATTGCAAATAAGGTTTAGAGTCTATTCGATATTTAGAGAATGAAAGTTTTACTCCTTGTGGATACAATTACAAACATCTACTCACTTTTGGACTGTCTATAATATTATTTCCTTCGCCATTCTCGTCAGGTTCTTGTTTAATTAATTTGTCCTGCTGCTTCTTGGACTGATTTGATTTCCTTCTACCTTCACTTGCAGCTTGTCTTGTTTGGGGTTTTGAACTCGTGTTAGTCTTTTCTCTGTGCTTACGATTCTCTTTTAACTGAACTTCAGGTTCTTCCAATGGATCCAAAAGGAAGTCCTTTAATAAATATGATTAACTGAAGCTCATACAATTAAAAACTAGATAACACCCACCTTCTTATCGTCTTCCCCACTGTCCTCATTTTCAAACTCTTGGATACTACTGAAATGTGCATTAACTTGATCGTCTTCATCACTAGTCTGTTCATCCTTTAGTATGTGATCCTGCTGGTGATGCTCCTTCTCAATGTGAACCACAAATGTTTTAAATTGCAAACAAATTTCATGGCAGAATAAACACAAGATGCAGTACTGTTGTTTTTCGTCGATGCTGGGCGATTTTAAGATTTCTCCACACTTGTTGTAACTGGAATAGATGCTGTAGTCAACCAAACTGCTCAAAGTCGTCATGGTAAGTTTTAATGTTTTTGAGGTCCCAATTCTTAATGTTTTTGTGTCTTAGAAATAAAACAATATATCACATTGAGATGGCGTCGTTCGGAGATAGTTGAAGAAAAACAAACGAAAGAGAGCGCCCAATAAAAAAATACAAGAATAAACAAAATCTTTTGTTATGAATAAAGATCAAAGCAGAAATAAACAATATTGTAAACAAAGCATAAAAGATGTGTCAAAATTATTTATCGATTTATTTGCATTCGATGACAAAAAATGGTACCCTGTTTAAATAGGATAATTCATTGTACAATAAAAAGGTAAGGTAGAACCATGGTACAATGATATCAAGGTAGGGCTATGATACCATATGATTTTAATTTTTTTATTTTCTTGGCTTAATATGTCATCTTTATTTGTTTATGTATGTGTTTTTTTTTTTTCAATAACAAAAAAATTGTTTAGAAAATATTCAAATTCGGATGTTTTCAAAATGTTTATTTCAACGTATGCATCGACAAAATCTAGAGTTTTTAGCGAAATAATCCTTTGTACATGATTTTGAAAAGAAGTGTTGACCTTTCATTCAGTTATCGCGGGTTTCAATTATTTATTCAAAATAAATGCAACAAGTTGTTTGAATTTTTATTGTTTTGATACATTACAAGCCAAACAGGTAGACCTCTATACTTGCAATTTTTTCAAAGTTGACCTACCTTCTCTTCATTATACCATGGGTAGAGCTACCAGCTGATTGCAATTTTTTTCATCGTGTGACCGACTTCTGCCAATTTTGTTGTTTTGAAAAATAAAAACTATTTTTTTTTTTTTTTCAAAATCAATGATTGGAAGAATCTTAAATTACGGGGCGCACATTAATAATTTAATATATAACCAGATTTGCCATGAAATTGAAAGATTAAACACTCAGAATCATATTTTTGAGAGAACATTCATGCATTTCATTCATCTTTAGTGCTATTTGACTTATTTTAAAAATGAAAAAAAAAAATATGACATAAATGATAATTTATAATTTTAAATAATTCTGACAGGAAGCGGACATAGAATGAGATCTAGATCTATTTAACCAAGCCTTGAAATTCGCAAGGGCTAAATGTAATACGTTTCCTGAGATATATAAAGCAGTCAGTCTTACCTCTTTTTTTGATTTTAAGAACCAATCTAAGTTCACATTTTTCAGAAACTAACGCTCCAAAACCGTAGTTTCACCTTAACAACTTTCTTCAAATCGACAGAGGGAGCCTCCAATATCTTCGATAAAACAGGTATTTCTTGGATTTGATAGAATACCTGTTTAAGCATAGTGACCTTTCAAATTATCGCCACTAGTTTAATTTAGGGATAGGATAATTGATTTTGAGATATTGCATTTGACTATTGAAATAGTCTTTGTCTATCGGCCGAACGAAGTGACATAGAGACGGCTTGATCGAGTTATCTTCGTTATCATTAATATTACAGTGTCTCCAAACCGAACCGAATGTACTTAAATGCCGCCTCGAATTTAAAAGTGCTCAGAGTTCTCGGGGACGTCTTATTATCGCAAAATATATTCACTGGAACGGTTCTGTTGACTAGTGAATCGATGGCCAAGATATCTGCCCCTTCTTTCCTTTGATCCAAAATCTTCATCCCCTTGGTCTGGGTGGCAGGCCGGCTACTCTTCTCAGGACACGTGTAGGTAATTACATCGATTATTAATTACAATCTTCTTCGAATTCGATGCAATAGAAAAACTACATCTAAAATGGTGGGGAACCTCATCTGAATGGCATGACTATCTATACAAACGATACCAAATGAATGGAAACACTAACGCAGCCATCTTCAAGTCATACAGCAACTTATGACTGCATTTATTAAGTGCCTATTGTTTTTCGCTAATATCTGATGAGATTTACATTTATTCAAATTTTCTAAAATGCTGCATAACGTTTGTTTGTTTCAACAACAAACCAAGAATGTATGTTGGAAAAACAAATCAGCTGGATAGGCAGTCATAAAAATGTTGTAACAGTTGATGAAGTAATAGCCGACCGTTATTCTTAAGTTTCTTTTAAACACATATGCTCCATAACCCGGCTTACGTGACCTACGGTATGTTAAGTACCATTTTAAAAATCACACCACCACGTTGGTTGCCGTATCATCCATATCAACTTCCTTTGAATTTACTCATAATGAAACTTGTGCTTTTAACATGCAAAAAATAATATTTTTAAACGGGAGGATAGGTGTATTGATGCTCACACCATGCTGCGTTTAAGTATATTTCGATATCCCCTGAAATAAATGGAAACAATGTACAATTTTTTAAATCATTTCCTTATTGAGATAATTTTATTTACATGACTTATTAGTTAAAAACTTATACTATTGTAATGTTATAACACTTTTATTTATTTTGATGCATTTTCAAATGTTGATTTAAACTTTTTCTAGCCTTAAAATGTATGCCACATATTTTACACATAAGAGGTCCAAAAAATGTTGACGTTGATGGTTCCACTGCTGGTTTTATTGCAGTTGTTGTAGGGCTACTTATGCTTACTGTTGTTTTTAATCGTCTATTGGGGACAACATTGGCTGGACTTAATTTGTATTTTTCATTAGAACTACTTTTATATTCATTGTGGCTAAACATGTGTTTTTTCAGTTCGTATGAATGGAGAAATCTCTTATCACAAATTTTACACTCTATACTAAGATCCTGCACGTGTTTCTTAGCATGAAAAACATATGAGTTTAGTGAGCGGAATTGTGTGTGACATGTGGAACATGTGAAGGGTAAATCACCTCCATGAATGCCAAATTTGTGAATTTTTAATGTAAATGGACATTTTACTTCGAGGTTGCATTCGGAACATCTGAAGGGGCCAATGTGTTTCGAAAGAAAGTCCATTTTGTTATAAAGGACGTCCGTTAAATGTTTTAAGTTAGTATTTCTCATTCGTCTTAGTTTTTCTTTTTGGAAGTAATTGTGTAGGCATCTTATATACTTTTTTAAGGCGTTTTGGCTGACTTTGATTTTTAATTGTACTTCTAAGGTCCATAACATATTTTCCAGAGCTTCGTGACGGGGATTTGTACAACAATATTCAGCCAAGTCTGTATTCCAAAGAAAAGGGTATCCTTTATAAATATCTATTATTTCGATAATTTCTTCCTGGGACAAAATAGAGGGGTGCTCGTCGATTTGCAATATGTTGCCCTCTTTTGGTGTATCCAGAAAGTCCAAATACTCAAAGTACCAACGCGGTTTGCTATATTTCGTTGCTTTGGTATCGGTAAGACACATCAGATATTCTCTATACTGCTGATAAAAATATTCGAGTATGTTTGCCACATCTTCTGAAGATACATTCAAATGACATTTGCTATTAATATCCCTCGTCAGCTTATTCCAATCACTTTGTTGTAGGGATTTTAAGCCGTTATCCTCTGCATGCCCCTTCAAACCTTTTTCCTGTAAAAGTTTTTTGTACGAAGTTATCAGGGCAATTACATGTGTTCGCGATTCCATAAATTTTGCCACAAATGAAGGTGTGGAGTCATCTGTTGTCGTTTTCTGTAAATGAAGAGTATTGGTTTTATTATTTATCGGCCGGACATTGTAAGAGCAAATTGAATTATGTATTTTTTAATGATGTTTTCTGTTAAAGTATTCATTGTTTGAAAATTGTAACATAACAAAGTCATTTGGAATACATTTAGAATATAACAGTTATATACCTACGATAACATGCATGAGTAGTAAGTAGTGCCCTATTTTTGGAAAGAATATAATAGCATTATCAGTGATCTCCGATCCATACTTACGTCATCATCATCCTCGGATTCACACTCCTCCACAACTTCGTAGACCTCCATCATCTCATCGTTGCCTTCTTCCGCTTCATCGGTACTACTGCCATCTCCCGTTTCTGGTACTGCATTTGTTTCTACTTTCAGAAATCCAGTACACTCATCTAAGACTTTATTCGTGTCATTTAGATTTGTTGTTAGACCTTTCACGGTTGTTTCTTTTCTCATCATTGAGGTGGCCTCAAATTCAACATCTATTATAGGCTCATTTTTCACAACAACCGCTGTATCCTGAAAACAATAGAATTGTAGTTATAGTCTAGGACATTACTCTAGAAACTATTTACATCAAGAATGGTAAAGCTGCTCTGTGGCAATAGCTTCTCAGCCTTCACGTTCTTTGGTATTGTTGATTCGGCCTTCACGATTGGCTTACAATAGTCCTCAATGTGAAAAATGAATGATTCCAAAAGTAGAAATATATCGGAACACTGATGACACTTTAAAATATAGGGGGTTTTGTTGGAATGAGCAGGCGACTTAAAAATCTCTCCACAGATCAGATAATCGGCGTATTTACTATCCATTTTCAAAAAACAAAATTTATATTTGGATCTAAATGGTCAATTGAAAACAAAATTCCATGGCCCAATTATAAGGTCTTCCTTCGAGCGAATTAGTCTAAAAGCAGCTTTTATTTTACCAGATGAAATGTCAAAATTAATGCTTGAGGCGAAAATAAAAATTTTCGCCTTGACAGTTTGCTGTCAATTTTTTGTATGTAACACATGGTAGAAAAATACAGGTAGACGCAAATGCTGGGACAATGAACTGACAAACTGACTTTGAAATTAAAAATGTTGAATGAAAAAATGTTGATATTTTTAAAAACTGTTGAAAAATACATTGGTGTCGTATAAGTAAACTTAAAAAAGTAATTATTAAAAAAAAAACATTTTAACATTTTGTTGACATATCAATGAAGATATGTAAAAATTTTTTAATTTTTTTTAATAAGTACATTTTATAAATCTTCTTATATAACACCAATCGTAGATTGTTGATATTAATTTTTCAGTTTTTTTTTTAATTTCAATAATTTTTCATTTAATAATTTCAATTTAAAACTTGGTTTGACAGTTCATTGTCCAAGCAGCTATGCGATGTGACTACCTATATTCTTGTACTATAGTTTTGAAGTTTGTTTTGGTTGCAGCGAATTCAAATTTAATTGACAGTTCGTGTGGTAATCAGCTGAGCTGGAAGGGGACTTGGAACATGGGTCAATTGAAAACAATTCTTTGTTTATGTGGTGACTAAATAACAAGGCCGAGTGATTTTTCGATGGCGGCGATGCAGCGAAAACATAGGTGGCACTGTTGACAAAAAGAGCTATTACAATGTACTATTTTTTGTCCTTGCAACAATGAACTGTTTATATAAAAAGTTACTAGAAAACCATTCTCATGACCAATAATAGTAATGGGAGATAAAGAGATTGGCTTCGCCGTCTTGCTGTTATCTGGTAATAATGAAGAGACTACAGAGTCACACTCAAATTCTGGCGTCAATGTTCCTTATAATCTCACATTAGGTGTGACTCTTAACTTTTCTAGTAAGAAATTAAGTCAAGCTCATGGTAAAAGAATTGTGGTTGTCGCATCGACACAGTTGCGGGGACAATGAACTGTCAAATCAATTTTGAAATTGAAAATTTTGAATAAAAAAATATCCAAATTAGTTAAAATTGTTGAACCTTAAGCTGCAAGTACATAAGAAGCTTGAAGTCATGGCTAGGCATATTTTGTAACATTTCATAAGGGGAGTACAGAGCCGCGCTAAAATCCTGCCGTCGTTATCCATTATAACTTGACATTAATATGCCTAGCCTTGACTTCAAGCCTTTTATGTACTTGCACCCTTAAGGGCTAAGTACATAAGAAGCTTTCACAAAGAGATTACAGAGCCGCACTAAATCCTGCCGTCGTTTTCCATTATAATTTGACATTAGTATGCCTAGCCATGACTTCAAGCTTTTTATGTACTTGCACCCTTAGATTGGCGTCGTATAAGAACACATATAAAAAACTACTTAGTTTTGCAAAATACATTTTAAAAATTTTGTGACGCTATAATTGACATTTTAAGAAAAAACTTGTACTATTCAGTATAGATACAAACATGGGACAAACATACAGACATGTCACAAAATCGTATCGAAATGGTTTGAATTTCGTATTTCAAAATCGTTCATTTTTGTTTTAGATTCTTCAGTTTTCTTACGATTTAGTGAACTACGATTTCAGTGTAAATATGGCAACATTATATGGTAACATTAGGGGAATGAAAGAACGAATGAATGAGGAATCAAAACAAAACCGATGATTAGAAACATTGTAGAAGTGTAAATATTCTGTTTCGAAGTGTTTTATAGTGCAAAACAAGGTAGATGTACTAGGTAATCGCATCAGCCCAGCTGACGGCACCATTAAATGTCAAAACAAATTGTTGTAATGAAGAATTCGCCCTAAATGAATGCAACAACAAATTTGTTTATGTTGTCTTCCCTAAAAATACCTTTTTATAATATTTCAAATAATTTAAGAGCAAGTTAAGAGTGAAACCAGTAAAAAAATTAAAAGAAAGTGAAGGAAGGAGGTTAGAATGGAGTGAAGCTTTAAGAATTAAGTTAGCCTCAACATCTAAGATTCCCAAAGCACATCACGGGAAGTAGTGCAAGAATTCGACATTTGTCATTTGCAGTTCCGGAAAACTTTCGGTTTAAACCAGTAAAATATAGTCATTATAAGTTTCTTGGTTTAAAACTATCGCAATACAACAATTAATACTTATTTTACTCTTATTTGTTTTACAATAAAAAAAATTATTGCAACGTTCGTTTACGACGAGAGGCACACAAAATAAAATGTAAACAAACACCTCGTTTCTGATTGGTTGAAACAAATTTGCCGATGCCAATTTTGACATTTGAGGGGACCACAAAAGTTGCTTTGTTGTAGCAATTCGCCGATGCGGTTACCTGTTAGATCTACCTTGGTGCAAAAAGAAGCATTGCAATTGATTCCAAGCACACTGAGCACATATTTGTTGAAAGAACCACCACCAGTTTTTGCATTTTCTTTTTTATTGTGACACAATTTTTTAAAGTATACTGACCATTATGACTATGTATTTTTCCACTCATTGCAATCTTTGGTAAGAGGTTCCGAGGAATTTAGTTTTTCGGCAAGTTGTGACCAACTTGTTTCGGCAAACACTCGATCACTTTTGACATAGCTCCACGCTAGGTCTTAGTGGCTCTCCATAAAATCTAAAATATGAAATAATGATTAATTTATTAAACCACATTCCACAATACATATTTCACATATTTTATGATAATTACTTTTTTGTACAAAGTTCTTTTTTGAGCATTCTTTTTGTTTTGTTTTTTCTCTTTGCATTAATTTATTATTCGTAATACCACATTGTTTGGTTTTTTCAAATTTTTGTTTGAAGATAAAAGTTATTTTCAAGAAAAAAACGATGTGGTAATACTTTGTTAACAATTGGCTTCGTCAATTGAGAAACCATTAAAATTTGCTATTTCAAATAAAAATATAAAAAATGGAAATTCAATTGTGTATTTGTCATTAAGACAACTTGTTATTCATAGTACAGTGAAAGTGTAAGGTAGAGCTGTCAACTGATTAAAAATTTTTAAGTGTGCCCGACTTCTGCCAATTTTGTGTATGTTATTGATTACATTGAAAAATAAAAACAAAATATTTTCTGACGCGTACATTGCAGGGTGCGTATTAAAAATATTTATCAGTTTTGGTATAGACTTGAAAGATTGAACAGTTTAGATCATATTTTTGAAAGAACACCCAAGTATTTCAGTCGTCTTTTCTTACTCATTTTAAAAATGAAGAAAATGTGAAATAAATGAAAACAAATTGTTGCATCTGAATTTGAATAATTCTGGCAGGACGTGGATATTGCATTAGGGCTGTATTTTTAAACTTTGCGAAGCTTTTCTACCTTCTTATTGTACCATGGTTTTCATATTGTTTGTGTATATGATATTTAACTTTTATAAAAATATAAAATATTCAATTTTCCCACTATGGTAAAATTTTTTGTACGTCCGTAATACCGAAATTCTCAAGGCCCGTATCTTAGAAACTACCAAATAAAAATAATTTTTACAAATTTGAATAATTTTTCATTTAAAAATTGCAGTTCCAAAATTAGATTTTTAAGATTAAGGCTGTTATGAATAGTTTAGAGTAGTCAGTATAGGAGTAGTATAGGAGTTCTCTCAACAATCAAAATAAAAGTGAATGAATTTAAAAGAATTAAAAGATAGAAATGTTTTAGTTGTTTTTTTAATTGTACTCAGTTTAATATTCTTAACGGGTTCAAAATGACGACCTAAAGCCGACCGATTTCTTCCTCGAGTTGAAGGAACTTACTCCCGCGGTTCATTTAATGAATGTGTCCAGCGGTTCAATTTCCTCATGTCTCATTCGTAAACAACAGAGGTTCCTCGGGGATTTTGCTTTCTCGTTCTTTTTATCAGGCATTCCTTTTTGATTTCGTATTTGTTTCGTTGGGGACGTCTTTCATTTTTGTTTCCCACACGCACTTCACAAGCAAAGCGAATAGAGCTTCAGTGACATACACGCATTGGACATTGGTTGGACCTTGTATATATATTGGATAGTAAATACGCTGATTATCTGAAATAATACAAAATTAAATAATACTGTAAATAGAATTGGTTTATGAAGGAATTTAATCTAATAATATATCTGGGAACAGCACGAAATACAATACTCCCATTATGGATGACGTTGTTAAATTGGAGTACCTTGTGTGCGGGGAAATACTGGCTCCAATTTCCGTCAATGCGAAGGAGCAATTCTTCTTGAAATGCCTGGAATGCGATGAATATTTTACGATGTTGGAAGAGTTTATAATGCATTATCAGTACTGTCATAATGATAAATTTAAGATGACAATGCATTCTCCCGACACGAGTAACGCCCAATATCAACGTGAAGTGGATATACAGTATGCAGATGAATGCCAGGAAGATCGTGACATCCATGAAGAAAATGATGTTGAAGAAGTCAAGGATGAAAATGAAGAAAATTATGAAGCTGAATATGCGTTGGTCAATGAAAGTCAAGATAATATCGACGAGGATTTTGGGGAGGAAGAAGTTCACAACTTTAAAGACAGTGAGGGAGAGGATGGAAGTGGTGATGATGATAATGAAATTGGTGATAATGAAATTGATGATAATGAAGTTGATGAAGATGCTGAAATTGAGATGTATGACGAAGAAAACGACAAAGCTGACGATGACGACGAACTACTGCAGGACGCCGACGATAGCCAAGAGGAATACGACGATGAAGGATCCCAAGATTTTGATAGGATTGAAACATCTAACAATGATGACGAAGTGAGTATATATTTTAATTCTTGCTTGGAAAAGTTAATTAGGAACACTCTATGTATTGGAAATATTCTTTCCATGTTAGAGCTGCACAACAAACTTTAAGAATATGTAATTACAAATAACAAATCGAGTTCGCGGATGAAGGTCTTGCAAATTTAATAGCCACTAGTAGTTGAAGAACTTATACAAATGTAAAGAGGTATTTCTTATTATATATTACATACCTATTCGACATCATAAGGGAAACATTCTCTGCTTTTATGGAGTTTTTCTACCGCACTTGTTGCGTTGATCATTTTGTTGCAGATGGCCCTAAGCAACTTTGCATGGTATTGACGGTGAGCCACCGCTAAATGGAAATCAACTACATTCGGAAGCATCCCAATGTCCATTGAGTACCGTAACAAACTGTGAGAGGCATTTATACCTCCCCTTCCCATTGAAGGGGAAATTATGCAGTTTACTGTTGGCATCTCTTTTGGAAAACAGTATAATCGGTGATTTATTGTTGTTAGGCTGGGCAGTTGAAGAGGTGCAGTGTGTCACGTGGCACTGCACCACACTGAGACAGGTGTTCTGCGCACTGCTGTCAATTCAAGCCCAATATGAATTGAGACTGATGCAAAATCCAGATCTCAGTTGTCTCAAAACTACTCTGGATAGCCGCAGCACCTCTTTTTCTCTCACTCAATATTCTGCTTTAACTGCTGTGACCGTAGAGTGCATACTATTCCGTCTTGTTTGATAGGCCTGTTAATTCAGAGGCACTCTCTTATACCAATGTATCTCTATCGAAAGCCTTAATTGCTTGGGCGGAGGTTTCCTATACACTAGACGGCATTTTATTCTGCTGCAGACCTTCGCCTTGTCAAGTTGCGGTTCTGACAGCACTGAATGCCATTACGTAGCACCACATCGGAGCCGCATAGTTTACCACAGGCGACCTACCTCACTGTAAGAGATCATAATAAGAGATAATGTCGGCCAGAGACTTGAGAATTTTGTTCCTACTTCTAATCTTGTGGCAGATAGTTGTGGTATGTGCCGACGACTTAAAGTGGTAATTGTGGTCGGAGTTAAAACACCATCCAGCTACGAAAGTGTGGTCTTCGATTTTTTGGCAGATATTTTCGTATTCCTTGCAATGAAAAAAGCGTTAAGATAAACTAGGTAATGGTTTATATATCGCATCATTCGCGTACTCTATGAACTCAATGCCGCCTGGAGGAGGTAAAATGCCAGAAAGGTAGAAGTTAAACAGTTTCGGAGATATCATCACTCCTTAACGAACCCCCCGCTTCAATCAATGGATATTCAACTTCTTATTTCCGAATTGCAAGTACGACTGACGTCCACTCATGTACTTGATGATCCAACGTTTAAAACCTGGCTGGATGGCGGTGTGCACGATGTCCTCGAACAGTGTAGTATGCATCAAAAGCTTTTAATAAATCAAGCGCCTCCATAACTGTTTCCTCGCACGTCCTCTATTTGAATACGATAAGACGGTTAGTGCATCTTTATCGTACCTTGCAAATAGTTGATGCTATGAAGTTTGAGTCATCTACAATGTCTCGTCTCCAGTACTTCTTCATCCTTCTCTTGTCTTTAGTAATCTACGGCACTGTTTTAAGATAAGGATATAATGTAAATTTTGCCTTTGACTTTCATTTTAATTCTGGTCGAACAATTTGACTTGTAAGTTCTTCATGCAGACCTAATGCATCATCTACGTCCACCCTCCTTTGAGTTCTGTCTACATAGAAGCTTATTGGTAGATTAACAGAATTATGGCTCTCAGATGGATTCAGAGCGTTTCTCTGTCAGTTAATTCACCATAGATTGTTTTTTCTTTATAACAACATAGCTTCAAATGAAAATTTTCAAGTCATTTTTTATCGCTAACTCCATTTTTAATTTAAATTCAAATAATCTAGGAAGTACTACTCTTGTTAAGTTACACTAACATAATTAGTATATGGTTTTAAGTTGTTAAAAATACAGTGAACATTAAAAAAAATATTGTTAATAGTTAATTAATAATTTATCAACAGATTAATATGCAAGTAATTTGCGCCTTTGATGCTACGATTCACAATTTATTTATTAGGACAATAGTTGAGATAATAGGTATAAAACCTAAAAAAGTTTTAGGACACAATAAGCAGTTTTTTTCGAGAAGGGCCTCTTGATATTTGTACTACTTGGCAATGAAAAATGAAAGCCGCCAAAGACCACTATGTGTTTCGCCGTTAGTTAAGCGGTGCATAAGGCATATTTGTTGTGGATGGCTTAAAATAATCTTAGTATTATTGCGATGGAACATATGCCTATTAAAAATAAATGTTTTCTCAACAGTAATATTGTAATGTAAGAAATTCATTAGTTTCATTTTTTTAAAATCAACCGTTGATATTTGTTCTGTCATAAATTTGACCGCCATAACGAAAGTTGTATCAACATAATTATCACAGAATAACGTTACCGTTTTGCATTCGCCAACCTCTTTTTCAGTTAATAGGCGAACATAGTGAATCGGAATCATTTATTTGTGAGTTTCTAAAGTCTGAAAGTAATTACAAGGCTTTAATAAGAGCATATAAAAATGAACCTCGACTTTGGAATCACAAGCAATTCCCAAAAGTGTTAAACAATGATGATCGAACTTTGTGCCTAGAAAGGATTACGTTGGACATTAAAAATACCCAAAACATTGAACTAAGTACTAACCAAGTCGATATGATAATACGTCATATGCGAATATCCTATTTAAAAAATGTAAAACGCTTCAAGTCCGCTGGGCAACGATTAGCTGCAGCAGAGTGTAATAGTGTTCCTTTGTGGTATTTCAGTGCATTGTCGTTTATCGAACCTTTTTTGAATAACGCCACTGCCTTCCAATCCCATTCACATAGAACACATTTAAAGAAAGAAAATATTATACAAATTCTCGAGATATACAAGGAATTCCCACAATTGTGGAATACCAATTTAGCAGAATATGTATCTTCTAATAAACGGCAGGAAGCGCTTCAGCAAATGACAGAGGTAGTACGCAATGAAATGGACTTAAAAATCAAAGAAAGTTCGTTGAAAAGATACTTGGAAAATATTCATGCCCGTCTATATAAAGAAAAATGCATTATTAATTACAATCAAGGAAAAGTAACCAAACAAAACTCAATTTATTATAATCATATGGTGTTTCTAATTGATCACGTTGGCCCATTTAACTGTTCATATTGTGAGCGAAAGCATAAAAGCCCGCTCTATTTAAAAGCCCACATCTATCAGCATCATCATAAAAATGACCCTCTAACATGCCCAATATGCGGTAAGAAATACGAAAAGTTGATTCCGTATGTTGCTCATGCAAGGCGACATATGAATGACTTACCGGATGAATGCAAAGTGTGTGGAAAAAGATTTATAAGACTTCCTGAACTTCGAAAACATATGCGTACCCATAATGGCGAAAGACCGTATTGCTGCGAATTGTGTGGTGCTTCATTTACGGCGTCCTGGTCACTTCTGTCCCATATACGGCGTCACAAAAAAGCATATACAACATATTGTCAGATCTGTTCCAAAGGATTCTTTACGAAAGATGAATTGAGGTCCCACATGGCGACCCATTCAAATGAACGCAACTACAGCTGTAGCACATGCGGCAAATCTTTTAAAGTTAGAAAAACTTTAAAAACACACGAACTCTCACATACAGAGGAGCGGAATTATTCATGTCCGAAATGTGGAAAGAGATATAAGAATAAAATAGGAGTAAAACAACATTTGAAAAAACATCGTACTGATGTGGATAAATGACATGTATATTTACATTAAATTGATTATCCCTCAAATAAAATTGACCGATTTAATTGAAATCTAGTAACATGAGTTGTAGATTAATAGGAAACTATGAAGGTAAGCCATGTAGTACAAAGAGATGTCATCATGAAAGACATCAGGAGCCTAATTCGATAGTAAGGAATTGTTATTATTCAATGTCAATTTGAAAATTTGTGGCGAATAAAATCGTATGCAACAATTTTGTTACAAAGATTCAGAGTGGATCTTCAATGTCCCGGGGGTTCAGAAAAATTTCACCAGATGTCATCAGCGCTGGAGACGATCGCTTTATACAACAACCAAGTACCGGTGACATTTTCAGTTTTATACAACTTTAATCTAATGACAAAGTAAACATTCCCACCAAGAACATTTAATTTGATTTGGTTATAACACTCGGCAATTGAGTGAAAACAACTTCTGCCGAGAAATTTTTGAATTTGGTTTTGACCTCTTCCCCTAACTTATAGATTAATACATGTCAAAAAAATATGTATAGAAATTATTAACTCCAAGAAAATACAATTAGTGAGTCAAAATGTATATAGTATCTTAAAATAGCATTTTTGTTTTCAATCACCACACGACGAATATTAAAAAGTTCTGTGTAATTATTGAGCACATTATTTGGACTATTTGTTTTTGAACTTCCAACAGTTTAACAGCACTTAACTTGAATTTCAGGAAATAAGTAAATTTTGCTATATTTTATCAATTTTGATAATATATGTTTTACTAGATTAGAACAATAATATTGCTAACACAACTGCCAAAGATATTCCTTCATTCCAAATTTTTAAGCTTACAACATTTTATTGAACCACATTTTTGGTCAAAACAATAGAAAAACTACAGCACACTTTATATGTTGATAAAACTTTCCTCTCCTAAACACGACCTAATTATGTTACCGCTTTGCATTCGTCAAATCTCTTTCAGCTAATAGGCGTACAAAGTAATTCGAAGTCGTTTATTTGTGAATTTCTCAAGTCTGATAGTAATTACAAGGCTGTCATAGAAGCATACCAAAAAGAACCAAAACTGTGGAATCTCAAAGAATTTCCAAGCGCGTTGAACGATGCTGGCCGAAATGCATGTCTAGAGAGAATTGCGTTGGAAATGAAGAAATCACAACATATTGAACTAAATTCATA